ATATATATATATATATATATATATATATATATATATATAGGTTTGCGGTTTAACTGTTCCTTGATGCTTTTGTTACTATTGCCAAGCCTTTACTCATTTGGCGCATTGTATTCAATTTATTTGACGCTATCATGTTTTCGCCTACTTATGCACAGAAGGAAATCAGTCATCAATGTTGTTGAAAACGATGTTCAAAAGGGTTTATCCATTCATCCATTTATTACAACTATTGACTTATATTTCTTAATAGTTTTTAAAAATTGATATTGGTAAAAACAAAATCACAACTCAAAAAGGTTTTCTGTCGATGGAACAGAAAATTGTTTTGAATTAATAAATGGGTATATGGTCAAGCAGATGCTACTGTTTACTACTAATGTAAGTGCAAATCTCAAAGTGAACTGTTACCAATACTTCTTTTCTTGCTTGGTTTCGTTTCAGCCATCGTAATTTCAAAGAACATTGCAGAAACTTCGGCGGATCAAGAATCACCAAAAATATCCTACAGCAGACGATCCACTATTATTGTCAATGATAATTATTCACATATGCTTCATTGATAGCTATAAATTCAATGAAATAAAATTTTTGATACACAAATTACGAACTCTCCGGTCATAACATTTACCAGTGGTTGCTTACTCAATTAATCCTCAAGAAAACCTGGTCCACTTTTCTTTTTACAATGCATAAAATATCAGAAAGGATTCATTTGTCAATGGGTTTTTTTAGTTTACTAGATGAGCTCTTCTCAGCAATATAACCTGTTAAGTCATTGCAAGTCACGTAAAGATTATCATTTTGACATCCTTATTGCATATGTTTCTTTTCATGGAATTAAGCTACGTGACAAAAACGTCAAAAAATCAGTGAAATGAAAAGATTTGTTATGAATCTGAGCAGCACACGAACACATGTCACTTCTCCTTCACTGTCATCAAAAAGAATCTCGTTATCTCTTTCATATTAAAATTTAACAGCTAGACTTCATCTGACGGAAACCAAAATCGAAAAATGAAAGATAATTTATTTCTTCAGGAATATGACTGCCAGTTAAAGACTTACAATCGTTTTGAATGTCTAGAAGCAGGGTTATAGATTACATCATTACAAAAGAGTAATAGTCATCTATTTGCATAAAATAAAACAAAAATGGATTTCAACCTGTATAACTCCTTTAAATCGGAAATCCGATATCGTCTCCTATGGATGTGCGGTTTGCCATGAAAAACACATAAGGTATCATTTCCTCTCATCACATTTTCACTTTAAACAATAATGTGTTAAATTCAAACTATGAAAAGAAAAATTTCAAGGTTTTCAACTCAATCAATCAATCATTAGCGCTCACTTTCATTGGCGCAGTTTGCTTGAAAAATTACATGATGACGCTTTGCAATGTAACGTTAGAGAAAATACAGGAACCAATATTAGTGAATTCTAAAAGAATTAATCATCCTGCATAAGATAAGACATGAGATACTAAATTATTAATTATCCTATTTATAATTACCATTGGGACCATCCTACTCTGTCATGCTATTATTTGATTACTCTCAATCAAACCCGCTGAATAAGTGCTCCCAGGATCTCTCGATACATTTAAACACGTGCATCTATTTTTTTCCCCATTCAATCAGCTGATGTCATTTACAAAAATTTCTGTTCCAGTTAAAAGATGTCACAAGAGTATATGTGGTTCTTTTGCTTTCCGACTTTTAAAAAAGAAATGAAATTTAAGCAGTAGTGTACAAATTAGAGTTCTTTAATAATTAAAAGTACTGTATAACTAAGGAAGAGGAAAAACCAGTTCATCCGGGATTACCTTTTAGATCAACCTGGAAAGAACTCTTAAGTAGTTCAAGCTAAACTCAGACTACAACTCAAAATTCAGCAAAAATCTGATTCAATATTTAATTAGATGTAAATCTAAACTAGTTACTTGCATCTCGCAAATTGACTTAATAGCGCTCTTTTTGTTTTTTTTTTCCTGAAATTAGCCATAAATGTTGAATAGATATAACATTTTTACAGTAGCTGTAAACATATTGTCCGCTTTTTCCGGACATTTATATAAGCAATAAAAATAATAAAAATTGAGTCTAGATGAACAATATTCCATTTTCTTTATCAATATCCTGTTGGAAATAAGCACACTGATAGCATTAAGTCCAGGAGAGTAAATTAAAGGGATCATACCTTTGAGCTCAGATGTAGGTCAAAACATAGCCAACATGAACTGCATGAAGAGTTAGAAGAGAACAAGGTTATAATCTAGGCCAATCATAGAACTTAATTAAAATACGTCACACAAAATAGCGAATCGGTATTTTTGAATTACAGTGTAAATGCTCTTCTCATTGGTGTTGACATTTAATTTTTGTGGGACGCAACTCTTCAATATTGTCTCAGAAAAGTTGCTGCTAGCATAGCAATCAACACCTTTGGCTGTTCTTTGATAATAGAAGAGTTTGAGGATGGATAGGCCAACTGATTGATGGAGTGGCTCTGTTCTCTTCGGTATACTATCAGCAAAGTATGCTAACAATCATTTCCACTTCTCCACTTTCCTCTTTGTACCTGTCTATACATATATATATATATATATATGTGTGTGTATGTGTGTGTGTGTGTGTCCATCTTCTGTCTGTGTGTGTGTCTGTGTGTGTGTGTGTGTGTTAAATTACATTTCAACTGCAACTTTCATCCAACATCAGTTGTTTCGTTCAGATGTTTGGCATTTAGTTGTTATTTTGTGATGTAAACGTCTAGGAATTAATTCTTTTTTCATCTTTAATGAATGGTTTCAATTACTGATACGTTTTCAAGTTATTTCTTTCACGTAGATTAAAATACTTTGTTAACGCATTTATGCGATGGTTATGTGACACTGTAAGCTAAAGGACAATTTTAAGCTTCGGGTCTGATCGAAAATAATGTTGCCTGTTGAGCTGAGAAAAGTGCCAGCAGTTAAATGTTTGATAAATTGAACAGGTGCTGGCACTAACCATATCGAAATTTCTGTAATTTTTTTCAGAGATATATAACCGTATTCAACATAAAGTTAAGATGAAAGCTTTGTTGCTATATTTTCAGTTCCTATTTCATTCGATTTTTCAAAAACTATTTCTAGAATTAGATAACCTTCGCTTGCTAACTTTTGTCCTTAATTAATGTTGCCATTTAATTGTGCTTGGCACTGGAAACAGCAGAACTAAAATCAGTTTCTCAACCTGTCCAACAGCGCCATTTGACACAAAAGAAATGTCCTGATGCCGTAATCATTTATCCAATTGATTATTAGATCTTTAAAACTTTCCTACCTTTGGAACGTCGTCATAGTGGCCTTTACAACTCTACTACAAGTTTTCTGCTTGGAATACATCTTGCGCACATAAATCTTTCAAACCTTGTTCTTCTCCTACACTATCAATCGGCATTATTTTGCAGGTAAGAAGTGACGCAATGCAAGTACAACAAAACAAACTAATTATTTTACTTTACAGGGGGGACTAACTTATTAATTAAAAACTAGCATTAATTAAATACCAGTATGACTGTGGACATCAACTCCACTGTATTGACTGGTAAAAAACACTAACCTTATTTAGTTAGTTTATTAAATTCTTTCACATATTTAAACGATTGCTTAAGATGCTAACAAGCAATTCTAGCCGATTTCTGACTCCATTTAATAACTTAAATCCGAGGACTATTTGTTTGTTTATAACTACTTAATTATTTATTATTTGTTCATTAATATTTAAATTTTGTTTATGCTTTGGAAACGCTTTTGTATAAATCACTTTTGTTTATTTTTTCTTACAGCAAAAACTTCCTTTTTCCGGTTTTTTTATTGAATTTAACAAAGTTTATTTCCAGAACTCATTCATCTTACAGTAATGAAATGCATGAACACTACTAACGATATGTTATAAACCATTGCTAATGTTTCTTTCTTTATAGCACTTCTTCTTCTTGAAACATTTAATAACTGTTTAAAGAAATGAAATTCTGGCAGTATTGGAGAATAGCTTTGATGATAAGAGTGATGCTATTCAATATCAAGCAGTAAACGAACTCAGTCTCTAAGCAGTTTTAAATTTAGATCTCTCTCTCTCCC